CCTAAAATCCGGTGCTGCGAATATAGTTCGATCAACTCCATTCGTGTCTGATACCATTTTTAAAGGTTATCATTAGCACAGCGAGGAAATATTGCCAGAAAGTTAGTCCAAAATGGCGAAAAACTGATTGAAATGGATCATATGATAAACAACCTCATATAAGAAACATAAAGTGTCATTTGACAAAATATGGAGCCTTTCGGAACCTTTTTTGGGACAAAATGTACACCTTATTTGGAAGTGCACATAAAAGTGCACTCAGGAGTCAAAGGGTTAAAAAAATTTTTGATCCATGAAAATTTTGGGTCACAGCATGTATACGAATTTTCTGAAAAAGATTTCATTAAGAACATAAAAACAGACAAGGTAATTTTGAATGATTTTAGCGGAGCTCCCGCGTGCGCGAAGCGCGCGCGCAGCGGAGCACCATGGGTAAGAAAATTTGGTAAACCATCCCAGAAAATTTGGTTATGACGTAGCGTACGCCCGTCCGTACACACACTTCATGTAAGCCGATGTCAAATGTCACAACAGATCTTGCACAACTTGACTAGCTTCTTAGTTATGTAAGCCATCCGTATGAGTACGATTAGATTGACAGCTGTCAAAATCAGACATCCGCTGACAATTATCACATGACCGTCTCGCGGGCTCAGATAAAAGACCAGTCGTTTTGCCCCTATATATAAGCTGATATAATATGTCACACTTACCAATTCAACATAAAAACGAAACTACGCCAGGCAAGGCTGTCAGTTGGCTGACAGTCGTTTAAAGTTACATTGGTAGGCCAAATTAAGGTCAATTGACAGCTGTCAAAATGGGACATGTGCAGACCGCTATCAGAAGACTAATAACGAGGGCTCAGGTTCGCTCTGGTACACGATCTGGCATTTTCCACTACATACCGGACGGAAATGTCCTACTCACACTCTAGTCTGTTAATTCGAATATTCGCCATTCTAATGAAGGTTAATTGACAGCTCTCAAACTAGAGTATACGCTGACCATCATCACCTGAGTGGATCGCGGGCTCATTTTTCTATCTATTGAGGTCACGTAGTGTTTAAAGTTTTGCGCTGATATTTTATTTGATCACGGGCTCAATTCGAAGCCCCATAGCTTTATAGAAAATCTATCCATCCTAGAAAATTCGGCAATCACGTGACCGTACACCGACCACCCGACACTCCCTCTGTCCACACCACAGGCATACCAATGTTTAATCTCACACTTTCTAGCTAGTTTAGGAGCCTGCAACCTGATATTGTACATCCATGTTTTGATTAATTGACAGCTGTCAAAACAGTGTTTCTGATGACCAGTATTGCCTGACCGTATCGCGGGCTCAGGTATCGACCCTCTGAGTTCGAGTAATATTTTGAAGGTATTCGCTGACAAGTTGCTACTTTTCAAATGATCGCAGGCTCAAGTTCAATTTTTTTAAAATGCATATGAAATAAGTCGTGTTTCATGAGCCGCACTTTTAAAATGTTGATTTCGAACTGATCTCGGACACGAAAATTCAACCGGCTTTTACATTTACATGCAGAGAAGGCAATCGCTTTGGACTTTTCTCACTGTCACGCGTTGATCACGCTCTACGTCCAATTTTTATATTCTGATTGGTCAAAATTTGACAGGTGAGTTTATGCGGAAAATTTTTGCAGCGTCTGGAAACTTGCTTACTGATAGCTGGAGCTGAGAGAGTTTTGTGTCATCTGGTGATGTTTTAAACTGTCTTTTTCTACTTGGTGTACAAAATGAAATACAGCTGCTATCAAGATTGTTCTGTAATTCGTGGCTGGTTTGTTTATTGCGCTTTTTGTTGACAAATGCACCGCTTGTCAAAGTCATTGGAAATCCGATTTCGGATAGCATCGTTTTCAAAAATGAGCTTACTCACTTGCCCTTGCTTGAGGCGTAAGAACGTTGAAAAGTCTCAAGCGATTCTGGAACACTTGATGACCTTCAGAAGCAGCATCTCGACTGGTAAGCTTGAGCCATTATTGTTTTTGATGTTTTTTTTTTCGGTTTCCTGAAGTCGAGCGTATGGTTATATTATGCGGCTTAAGTTAAAACACGAGCAATGATCTAACCTACAATAGTATCAGGTTTAAAAAGCCTTTAGACATTTTTTGACCCGCAAATTCAAAGAAAAGGTTCCGAAGATTATTTAGTTATGATTTTGGCTGTAAACAGAAAGCTCTGAGCGATTTTCTTGCCTCGAGTTCATCTTGAAAAAGAGCGAACACCGGGAAGCCGACTTAAAACATAAATAAGCTTATGCTTGCCTGACTCATGATTTTCTGAGACACTTTCCTCTCAATACTTCTCTTCGTGAATGAAAATTATTGTCTCTGTACATGTTTCACCGAATTAAACTTATTTTATTGATTGTTAGTAGTCCCTCTCGCAATTTTCATCGCTGCACCGGTTGTTTCCAGTCGAACATAAACATCGCATGTAGGAATACTCAAAACGCCGCGTGTAAATATCACTCTCTTTTCAAGATTACGCAACAAAATCATACACAGTTTAATGAATAAAGGGAAATAAAACCTAAACATAACAATTTCTCTATCATGTTGAGGCGTAAAATTAATGGTAACTCTATTAATCGCACTGCAAATTTGGTGCCTGTCAAAAGTGAGAACCCGTCCGGCTGGCCGAAAAGTGATTTTGGGAATTTTTTTATTGTTTTCATTAAAAGCCCATAATTATTACCCCGCATATCACATAGGACCAGATTTTTCTAACAGAAAACGTTTTATAATTCAATGCTATAATTTGTTGTGCAAAGGAAGCGCGTGCTTTGATCGTCGTGGATATTGAATGAGTGCAAATTCTCTTGCAAAATTGTGAAAAACTGCAGAATTATAAGTTTAAATAGGGCAAAAAAGAACAAATTCTGTCCGAGGTCTGTGTACTGTTTACCTGAGAAGTGATGAGAAAAAATATGTTTAAAAGGCTGGTTTACACGCCACCAGATTCGTCGCCAAGATTTACTAGTAAACTAAACTTGTCGAACACAAAAAATCCGGCCTGATTTTTATTTTGGCCTTTCTTTTAGACAGAGGAATGCAACGTGTAAATTGGCTGCCATCAAGAACTATCGTGGCACATGTGTTTCTTAAAATTATATTTCGGGGTTGTCCAATTATCCATAGTCTCTCTAACGGAGCAATGTTGGAGAGACTGGTGAATGCCATATTATGATGCTACAGCTAATGCAAATACAATACATGAATAGGTCTATTTGTTTTCCAGGCCTAATCTACTGTGATCGAACATGATTGCTATTTTTCGGTGTACAAATAACTTGATGTAAAATTTGTTTCACTCTTGGACGGTCGAATTCTGATTTTTCTCTAAAATCACTCAGCCTTTGCCTCAAAAGTCAAACGAATGTGCCCTGATCTGTGGATTACAAGTTTATTGTTTGATTTAAATTATGAATTTATTAACGGGAGCTTCGCTTTTAGCCCTGGCTAAATCTATATATTATTTCCTGTTGTGAATTTAATCTGTAGAGCTCTCCAGTCATTTGGTTTTCAGGGAGACTTGCCACCTGTAATAAAGAAATTAGAACATCATTATTTTAATGGATGTATTTGGTCACTTTGTTTGCATGTTGCGTAGGGTATTAAGAATGCAATTTTTTTAAAGGCTCACTTCAGTTTAGAGAAAAATGCAATTTTACAGCAATTTCCCCCCACTAACTCCCTGCAAGCTCTCCCCCCCTCCCCTGTCTCACACACACACACACACACACACACACACACACACACACACACACATCCCAGTTACTAGCCATTCAAGTTTCCTTGAATTTCTCTACTTTCTTATTTCTGTTTCTTTATTTTGAATGCTACAAATAATGTATTTCTGTAATTCAGATCAAACTGCAAGTCATACCCAGTGACTGTTGTCAAAGCAACAGAATCCTCAACTGACTTACATTTGTACAGTTCCCTGCATAATGGAAGGAGGTCGGTGATGATTTCGAACCTGCCACACCTCTTCACAATATCGGTAAAATGCTGGGTCTCCTTTTTTAGTTCTTGTTTTGCACTTTTCGAACCATGTAAAAAAAGTCAACAATTTTTCTCTACTCTCTGGTAAATATGTAGCATTCTCATTGTTAGTGTCCTTGAAATTCCTGATAGTGGTTTTTCCAAAGAGAGCATCTTGCACTCTATCATTGTATACCTCTGTGGTTGCTTCCAAATTTCCTTTCGGAGGGGATGTAGATATTACTGTGTGCCCTTGCAATGCAGCCATTGACCAATTCAACTCTGTTTAAGAAACTTCCTCCACTGTTTCGTGCTGTAAGACAAGGTTAACCTCTGTCCACAGAAATTGAACTTTTGGACTAGAGGGTCACTCATCAGTGGCTTGATCAACCCGGACACAATCAACAGGTTTATTGGTTAAGTCATCTTAAACTCTTGAGTTGTTTTAAGGAAACTGAAATCAGCAGGGTATTCTGAAGAGTTCTTTCTAAATGAAAAATGGTTCTTCACCATGCCAGCAGCTCTCTCTTCAGTTGTACAAGTTTCCATAAACAGATACGACGATGTTTGAAGGACAGAGGAGTATTTATTCAAGAAATCTGTAGGTGTTGTGACCTCCTGAACTGCGCAAAAGAGTTCTTTGTGCTGGTAGTGTGTATAAGTAGTGTCAAGCTGAAAGCCAGCTTGGTCATCTCTGAACGATGACTTATTTATACACGCGGTTAAAAACATCATTCTATCTTGTCATGCCCATCAGTTAACTGTGACTTGTCAAGCATCTTATACATTGAACAGCTGAAATGTGCGTCTGGGTTGAATTTTAAAGCAGACCCGTTTTTGCTCAATGACTCGTTAGTCTTTAAATCTTGATTTTTTAATCAACGTCATTTCTACTTTTATTTCTCTCAGATCTTCTTCTGTTTCACTGATTCCTTTTGACCACAGGGATGGAACTAGTTTGGATGGCACAGGTGAGGTGGCTCATTAAGAGGTAAACAGCTGACCAGGACTTATTTCTCTTGTACAGATAAACATCACCATCAATTTTCTTCTTTGCCAGTGCTTCCAATTCTCCCTTTTTTGCACCAGCTGTAGATTTTCTACAGCAAGTTCATAAGCGACATCTGATCGATTTAATGCTTTGCAGTACTCATAATTATAGGAAACAAGCAGGTTTAGATTCTTGTAAATTGGACTCTCTTCCCTCAACTTTTCAGGATCTACTTTTAATGTCACCTCCACAGTAGTATTACTTTAACTGCAATGTACACTATATATTCTTAACCCCAAAAATGCCAGAAGATAAAGTGTTGACCAAACTGAGGTTCATTAATGTGAAGTATTTTTGGTTAATGAACCACAGTTATACCTTACACCATACTGATACAAATTAAGGGTAACAACTCTGTAAGCTGCCAGCAACATAATCTTCTCAACACTGATATTTGATATTTCTTAAGCTCAGAAAATTAATGTAATTCATGCAGTGAACATTATTCATGCATAGGCCTCATGAAACAAAGTCACCTTCTTGATTACAATTCAGAAGTTGTATGCTGTATAATATTTGACCTGTGAACAGTAAAGGCATAAATTTCCTCACACCTTTGTGGCTGGGTCACATAATAGCTGATTTCCCTGTATGAAAAAAATAATATTGTTCTTTGATGACCTTAAAAAAATAAATATATTCATCATAAAATTTTTATACAACTGTACATAAGAGAGATCCAAAACACAAAAATACAATGTAGTTCTCCACATTTCAAAACATAGTACACTCCATGTAAAGTCATGTATAAACATACCGTTGTCAGAAATAATGTTGCCACTCGCAATATTTCCACTCACACCTATGTTTGTTTCTTTGGAAAGTGCACCTACAAATATAACTTTGAGGTTAGGACTACAAAAGCGAGAGATGGCATGCAAATTTGTATAAAAACTATAATCCCCTGCCTCCTGCAGTTTTGAATGAAGGATGTAACAAACATTGCAGAGATAGATTCTTTCAGCTTCACAAAGTAGGTTATTCCACTCACAAGTATAACTAATAGTAGTATTTATATACAACAGTAAATACTTCTTAAGGTATTCCTGGAGGCTAAAGTGACTCTTTCAGATTGCCGTAATTTTTTTTCAGCTAATAGACAATGTCAACAAAAACTCGCATGCAAAGTTTCAGGTCGATACAACCAAACTCTACCGAGATATAGGCGAGCAATTTTTCGTTTCTAGGGCTGATTTAGCGGGAAAAGTAACACACCATACTGCACCCAAAACACTATCATCTTGCGTTGGAATCCCCCAAGGATGGTCTCGTTGACAGATCGCTGACATAAAACCTTGACATTGGATACAAACGACCCTCTTTGACCATGGCGGCGGATCGAGCAATGTTGGAGACAGCTTTCAGGGAGAACGGGTAAATAAATTTCTTTGATACAGTGAAGATTATTTTTCTCTGAAATTCGTAACTTTGGTTTGGTTAACAAAATTTGTTTCCCAATTAGTTTTCAGGGAAGTCCTTTGGGCCTTATGCGGCTGGTCCGTGGTTTCTCTAAAATGGCCAAAGAAAGCGACGAGCTTGCCAGGAAGCGGTTCTCTCGCCGCATTTTTGGTATTTTATGGGTAAGTTCTATTAGAGATTTTAATTTATATTTTGAATTTCCCCTGCTTTTTCTTAACGAGTAAATATTATTCTGCATTCACCCTCCTTCTGTTTAGTATATGGGTTCACTGATAGGTACTTGCACTTTCCTCTGCTCTTTCCGTTCACCTACCATATCGCGTATATCGTAAAGCCTACATAAGCCTACAGTTCGACTACCTTGCGTTTTTTGATGCACCGCAACTCCTGATATGAATTTCTTGTTATATTTCGGTCACATCCCCAAGACAAATTGCATCAAGCACACAATTCTCTTTTGATGAATTTTGATTCTGTTGCCAGCGTACTCAGTAGGCCACTCTGATGATGGAGTGTCGTAAAACCAAACCAAAAAAAGGGAATCACATGTCCAGTTAGGACAAGTGTAAATTTCACAACCGCCAACGAGAACGTAAAGTAAATAATCGTGAGAGAACGCAAATGTCTAAGTTGCCATTGTTTCAGTTCTGCTTCTGATTGGTTGAGAGAATGACACACTTTATCACAGAGCACAGTATCATTTAGAGGACATTAGTTATGAGGATTTGATACTCTACCTCTTCACATCAACAATCGTTTTGGGTGTCATTGACTTCTATTGCGTGTTTATCCGTGCTAAATCATTTTCAGTCCTCTTTTTAAATTCAATCATTTTTCTCTTTTATGGACAGTTTGGAAACAAAGTTGGAGAGGGCCAATTTAGAGGCAAAGCACTCCCCACTTACGTCTACCCTGACTGCCTGAAGGCAGCCATCAGGGAAAGACTAAGTGGGGACTTGAGGGATTATCCCAATCCCGAAACCTCTGCGGTAGGAGTTTTGCATTATCATGCTCATTATTGTTATTGTTACTTTTTGTTATAAATATAGCCAAACCCCACTCTCCCCAATCTTTCCTGCTAGCCGAGACTCCTTTTTTGTTGTAGTTCTTCATCTCAAATATATTGCAACTAGACTCTGCTAAAAGGAAAGCCACTCACGTTGAATAGTCAGTTCTAAGTTTTTATAATCATTAAGAACTTTATAAGAACTTTTGGAGGCCCATCCCTGAGTGCAAGCATTACCTAATATATATGCTTTCTAAATGTTTATCTTATTTCATCCATTTTGCATTTCAGGTCTACAAGGTCACCATGTCCGACCTGCGTGAGGCCAAATGGCCAGGTGATAAATAAAGAAAAAAGTGCATAAAATATTTGATTAATAATGTAATGATAATTATCCTTTTTCTCAATTTTTGATTCTTATGAAATTGTTCAAAATGTTAAAATATTCAAATGTAATCAATAACTATTTTACCATTTCTATTTTATTGTTACTAGTTTTTACAAGAATGTAACATATTGTAATTGGTTTATTTGTGTTTTTTATTAGTAATATGGAAAGGAGGGAAAATAATTTAAATATGTAAAAATTATGTAATTATTTAATTCTGAATTTTTGATTATTCATCTGAAATTGCTGAGTATAAAAATGGCACAAATCAAAATGTAAACAATAGCTATTCTATTATTTGTAGCTGAAGTATTTTTTTAACAATGTGCAATTGATTGAGTTATAGACTTTTTGGTTTGATTATGATTATGAGGAAAAATGTCAATAAGATCACAAATAAATATATTTTGAAATTTCAACTTGTCTATTTTACTATTATTCTAACAATACTATTTTTAAGGGGAAGTGTCATCTCTTTTGTTACTTTTCAAATAATTTGTCGCATGTTCTGATAATAGAGCACTTTTCAATTGAGTGTTATCAAACAAAACCTAAGGTAATCACATGGCCAATCAAACAATTCCAAATACCACAAGCAGTCATTGTAAATGGCCTCAAGAGCAGGAAAGTGTGAGTAAAATCACGGCAATTCCAAGTTTCTTTCTTTTGAAAATTGCTACAGTTTTGAATATCTCTTGGTTATAATATTCACACGGCTAACAAATCAAAACAAAACTTGAAGAGTAGTTCTCAACTAGAACTTGAGGCATTTTTTGGGTTATGGGGGCAGTCCTTGTGGGTTTTCCTACTGTGGGTAGAACTCCCACACCATTTACAGTTCTTTCTGCCTAAAGTGACCACAGAGTTTTCCGGGGCAGCTGCAACATCCTGTACTGATGTCTCTGGCATGGTGCGACACCCATCTGCGGCCCCTTAACTAACAGCATCTTGTTCAATTTGAAGAGCTTCTTCTTCTGAAATGCCCTCCTCTTCCTCCTCTTCTCCATACGTATGTCTAATCCTACATCTCTTCACATACTTTTTCCTTAAACATAAAAGGATTGTGTTACCACCTGTGAAATAACAGCCCTTGTTTTTTACTCATGCAGGATCTCTAAAAGAGAGACCACCCTATTTGTGGAATTAATATGTTGGTGCTTGCCCTAGGCTATACTGTTCAACAAGCATCAACAGCTTTAGGTCTCTTACTAAAGGCCAGGATTGTGTCTACTTTTGGCCTGGCACATATTCTCATGAGAACAAAATACAATCAGAACCAAAAGCTATGCAAAATCATGCCTACTGTCGGTCCTAAACAATAACATGGAATCTTAGTGACGGCCCTGTAAAAATCAGTAGTACCAAGTAACTGAAGAAAACAAAACATTTACTTGTAGAAGGTGGTACCCTGGTAGATCTCGGGGTGTTGGGCTCTGCAAACTGGGTAATGACAACACAGTTTTTGGTTACCGTCTGGGTTACCCCGGTGCAAGCTTTCAGACCTTTGATGTTACATTCTCTTTGAAACTGCTGTTCACCTTAGTCAGTCAAAGCATGCAAGAATTTTTTTTACTAGAAAAGGGAGACAAGGTAAGATTTAAAAATGTGGACATGAGGTACAGAGTATGTGCTTCATTAGTGATCAGAGAAACTGTTATTACTAACCTTAGTTCTTGCTCATCAGCACGTTGTTTTTTCCTTTGCACTCTCTTCTGTTTCTCAGCGTCTGTCTTGTATCATTCCAGCCTTTTCATTCTTTCTTCATTGTCATGTTGACACTAGAAAAGCAAAAAAACCAAGTATTGTAAAATGGGGCAAAAAATATTATTCCATAAAATTTAGTCAGTCAGGAGAAATACACAAAACGTGATGCTGAACATACTAAAGAAACAAAAGCCAATGAAACCTGAAATGTTTTAAACTGCCCACCACCTCTAAACTTTTAACTTCTACAATTAAAATCTATATTTTTTGTAATAACTTACCATTTCTTGTATTTCGCTAAGAATTGGGAGTCCCATCCGTGGATACAAATCCACAATCCAGTGGTACTGAGCCCCCTTCTCTTTGAACAGCCAGGACATATTACTTTGAAAGAGGCCCAGATTTGTGGAGGCTTGATAATGTTTTTGATGCAAATTAGTATCCTTGGCCCTAAATTTAGTTAGCACACTAAATGTTGCCTCTGGAAGGTTGGAGTGCCCTTTACCTAATTCTCGGTCAATGACACTTTTTGGATTTTTTGCCCTCTCAGCACACTCTATGTCATAGGCTAACCCATGAAATTGACATTTCAGGGGGTGAGCAGAGCAATATGGCTGTCCTTGGCATTTCATATCAGGGTAAAACCCATTTTCATCCTCAACACATTCCTTGCACGAACACTTTACTAATGGGTGGAAGGAGCAAGAACCCCCTTCCCATTCATGAATATCCCTGCTGTGGTATTTGCCAAGTACCAACATTGTGTCTCTGTACTTCTCAGGGCTACAACCAGCCTGAACTAGTGCACAGTAGTGATTACGCTTGGCTTTCTGAATGAATCCAGGTCCAATACAACCACAAACAGGTTTGTTCCTTGTAGCAACAAAGGTATGTTTTTTGCCCGCACAAAAGCATTTCACTGATTCAATACCAGGAAATTTTAAGGTTTCTTTCCATGTGAAGAAAGAGTTGACAATTTGACAAAATAAAATGTAAATCATGAAATGTTAAAATATCACTTCAAATGTTTGAATTTTATGTAAAGGAAAACGGAACATTACTACAAGCGACCAGAGAAAATACTCACCCAGATTTGACATGACCTTCAGTAGTTGTTTTTTCAGTGGTGGTTTGTAATCTTCATCAGAATCTTCCGCGCAATCTTTGCTTGTGGAGGACACTTTGCTGGCGAGTTCAGAGCTATTCTCCCTCACAAATTGATTGAGTATTCCATCAGCCTCTAGTTGCCATTCTATGTCTTTCAAACTCTTGAATTTCTTACCCTCTGGATCCACGTACGTTAAGTGTTCTTGATTTCCAGATTCGCGAGACAAGATTTTCCACCCAGCTTCTTCAAGCAGTCCAGTGTTCAGGCGAATTCTTGAAGCGCTTCCCGAGCCACGAAGTTCGTGACGACTTCTTGACCAGTCTTTCTGATCGCCACTGGCCATCAATAGATATAATTCTTTCTCTGATAAATAAAACTCTCTCTCTATATAACTCTTTTGTGATAAATAAATTTCTATTTGTTGCCTCAGGAAGGTTGGAGTGCCCTTTACCTAATTCTGGGTCAATGACACTTTTTGCATTTTTTGCCCTCTCAGCACACTCTATGTCATAGGCTAACCCATGAAATTGACATTTCAGGGGGTGAGCAGAGCAATATGGCTGTCCTTGGCATTTCATATCAGGGTAAAACCCATTTTCATCCTCAACACATTCCTTGCACAAACACTTTACTAATGGATGCAAGGAGCAAGAGCACCCTTCCCATTCATGAATATCCCTGCTGTGGTATTTGCCAAGTACCAACATTGTGTCTCTGTACTTCTCAGGGCTACAACCAGCCTGAACTAGTGCGCAGTAGTGATTACGCTTGGCTTTCTGAATGAATCCAGGTCCAATACAACCACAAACAGGTTTGTTCCTTGTAGCAGCAGAGGTATGTTTTTTGCCCGCACAAGAGCATTTCACTGATTCAATACCAGGAAATTTAGATTTATGCAAGGCTATAAATGCGGGGGTGAAGGTTGACATTCCTTTAATTTCTTCCAACTTCTTTCCATGTGCCCGACCCACATGACCCCCACATAACATCACCCTTGACTCCTGTTCATTGGAAAATGAATACCTAAACCCTTTAGCAGATGAAGAGTCTGCATCCTGCCAATTAATTTCAACTTTCATGCCTTCTTCTTTGGCCTAGGCCCAAAGCTTTTGGATCAAATGACCTTTGGCTGACTTGGCAGTGCCTTCCCACAAGTCTTCATCGCAAATTCTATCTGCACGTCGCATTGACAAATGACCATAATAGAGAAGGGCACTTGTGATGTAGTTTTTGATCACAAAGGTGCAATGTTGACTAAAGTGCCCCCTTATTTGCCAGCAACCATCACAGCATGTTACGGCTCTGGACCAGCTGCCTATTAATTGTGATCAGATGAGAGCTGTTTCATTTGATGCTTGGCATCATTCATCACACATCTCATCAAGCATGTCTTTAATATGAGGAACTGCAAGGTCGATAACCTCCAAAAAGGGTTTTTCTGAGGTAACACCCAACCCCAAACTTCTCCCAAGGGTTTTCCTATAACTAGCATACCCATGCCCACTTATGAAAAATGCTTAAGAGAGGGCCAAGGATACTATTTGCCTCCGTGAATTCTGGGCAAGTTGGTTGCTCTTGTAGTCTATCTCTGTGGTCCAGCACCCACAACACTTGAATGTAAACATCATAGCCCCTCCAAATCCCTTCTTTTCACATGCAGTTAGCACAAGCTTTCCTATGACAAAGAATCACATAAAAATTTTACAATCAAAAACAGTTTTCAGTCCAGAGGGTACATTTTTCATAACAGTCAGGATGTCATTGAAATAAGAAAACAGAGCGGTTGAGCAAGTTGCATGACATGGTAAGCTTGAATCACACAACAAGAGGTTAGTGCTATGATTTATAATGGTAATAGGACTGAGTGATTACTTACTTGAGGACACTAGAGTATAAATTTTCTAATTCATACACACCTTCACACCTCCAATGGTATGAAGGGCAACAGAAAACGTTGTTGAAATCTCTGACAAGCTGTAATATGGAGGAGGTTGTGCCCACAAACAATCCCTCTGGAATGATCAAACTGCAGATAAAACAAAGAATTAAAAAAAAAGCTTTCTTTCCATGTGAAGAAAGAGTTGACAATTTGACAAAATAAAATGTAAATCATGAAATGTTAAGATATCACTTCAAATTTTTGAATTTTATGTAAAGGAAAACGGAACATTACTACAAGCGACCAGAGAAAATACTCACCCAGATTTGACATGACCTTCAGTAGTTGTTTTTTCAGTGGTGGTTTGTAATCTTCATCAGAATCTTCCGCGCAATCTTTGCTTGTGGAGGACACTTTGCTGGCGAGTTCAGAGCTATTCTCCCTCACAAATTGATTGAGTATTCCATCAGCCTCTAGTTTCCGTTCTATGTCTTTCGAACTCTTGAATTTCTTACCCTCTGGATCCACGTACGTTAAGTGTTCTTGATTTCCAGATTCGCGAGACAAGATTTTCCACCCAGCTTCTTCAAGCAGTCCAGTGTTCAGGCGAATTCTTGAAGCGCTTCCCGAGCCACGAAGTTCGTGACGACTTCTTGACCAGTCTTTCTGATCGCCACTGGCCATCAATAGATATAATTCTTTCTCTGATAAATAAAACTCTCTCTATATATAACTCTTTTGTGATAAATAAATTTCTATATGTTTAAATCTGTGTGATATTTTCTCTCAAAATTGTCTGCTGAACGAGTTGTCGAACAAAGGTTAGCGAATGGTGTCTAGCTGTTAACATTCAGTAATTATGGCTAGCGAGGTGTCGTTGCTAGGTGAAGGCGTCATGCCGCCCTGTCATTGGTTTCCCAGAAAAAATAGATAATTTATTCAAAAATGGTCAACTTTACCGTATATGGGGGAGTATTTTGTGTTTCACCGCTGCAAATACTTACTGTGGACACAGCAAACATGGCTGCCATCGAAGTAAGCACGAAGCAAGGGGAAATGAGAAATTTTCTGCAATTTATGGCCGATTTACAACTACAACAGCCGAATACACCAATATGGGCAACTATGTTGTTTGATCTTGCTACTTAACGATAAATCGTCGGGGTGTCACACTTGGCAGGGCAAAAGCAAATAGAAAAAGGAAAATTTACACCGCGGTACACACTCTGGAGCCAAATATTTCCCGAGTTAAGGACTAAATCTCAAATTTCATTAAGGTAAAAATTTATAATTTATTTATTCTCTTGAAATACACAGCCAAACATAGCCCAAATTTGGTTAATTTAGCCTCCAGGAATACCTTAACTAGTACATACCTACCAACATTACCAAAAGGTACAAACGTACCTATTGCAGCAGATTTTTTTACCAACCACTGTATGCAGGATGGCAGTACATGTACACCTACAGAAAATAAATTCACAGGGTGAAGATGACTTGACAATTACAAATAAATATGGTTCTACCTACCTACTTTGACAAATACTGGCAAAATTTAATATGAACGAAAATATTAACATCATTAAGAAATTTAGTCCATCGTCAATAACTTACCTTCTTTCAAGCTTTTAGAAGCACTGACGTTCTGTAAATAGTTGAATTAAAAAAGTAAGGAAAAATCAATATTTTATAATAAGCTTACCAGTGATATTACAATGTAAGCATTTGGGCATCACCACAACATAAGCATGTCATAAATACCTTTTTTAACAACTGAAGTCTTGCTTTGTTGTTTATCTTTTACAAGCAGTGTTCATTCTAGAAAATGTCCAAAGTGGGAAAGGTGTCCCCTTGCTTTAAAAAAGTGGGGACATCAGACTATTGGGAGGGACATTTTGTGAAATTCACGGATGACTCGGAATCAACTTTAACACTACTTTTATTGCAGGCTTTCTTCATATCAAAGCTTGGAGCTCTATTTATTGTTTCCATCACCATAGCAGCACCTTAGCTATCCTAGACCTCAACAAAGGAAAGCATTTTGAGCATCTGTAGATTATCAGAGTGAGATGGCAGGAAAACATTGTGTCATGCACTTAAGATTCTCCATTTTGTTTTGTTGCTGCACACTCTCAATGCTCTGTCAAAGTCAAATTCCCCTCGGTCATGGAATTGGTTTTGTTGTGCTTTAAGCAGGTTCTGCAGAACATTTTCCCTCCTTGTTCATAAAGCCTGGCATGTTTTGTTTGCCAATCAGCGAGTGTTTCGGCTCGAGGTCTGGCTCTTGCCTTCTTCGATCCCTGTTCACCAGATTTACTTTGTTCTTGCCATTGTTTCTCTATCTCTTTATTGCTGTCTGTGGCTTCCGGAATTTTTGCTGGCTCATCCGCTCATCAGCTTGTCCATCATCGACATCATTCGAAGAAGCTGTTGAATTATTACGTAATGATGTTAAAATCCAAAAAAATTCCCAGTGAAGCATGTCAGCAGATCCCCCCCCCCCACTAGAAGCTTGCGCCTTCAGGACTTGTTAAGGAAATTGGCCGGTATTTGTCCTAGATCCGCACCTGCTTGATTGTAGAATTAGACCACAAGGGGTCAACCTTCTTTCTTCAGAACCATGCACGGCAAGGGCTTAACTACGAGACTGCTGTAGAATTTACTTGTATCAAAATGAGCAGTAAGCACTGTCAAAATGGTCTTCCATAACACAGAAAAGCAACAGGTTGACTGACACTAGTAGGAAAGCTATATTGAGCAAACAATGAGCAAAAATTTCAGATATACAGCAAAAAGTAAACCTCTAAAAAGTAAAGAACTCGTTAGTTCATGCATAATGAATTCCAGCTGTGCCTGTGCTGGCCCTCCCTGGAGTCAACCCCTGGGCAATAGCATTTTTTGTCGTGGAGGTCAAATTCCTGGTGGCAAGGACACTTGAGCTGTGAATTACCCTGCAGTGGGGACGATAAGGAGAGTATAGCCCCTGTATCCTCAATAAACACCAAAGCTGGTTTGATTTACTGCATAAGTTGACAATATTCAACGCACAGATTTATATTTGGTCTTTTTTTAAAGCTTAGGAAGTCCATTTTTAGAAAAAAAGATCTATGGTGTGCCGATGAAGCCCTCAAACATATTTTAGTTCAAAGACACAATAAATTTTGTGGCATAATTATTTTTTCTTAGCAGCATAAACAGTCTATGTATATTTTGGGTAAAATATTTTGATCTCAATTTCAATTGCATGACCCAAAATTACCTTGAAAATAGTGAACTATACTGTTCTACTGCATGAAGAATTTGAAACACTGACTTTACATAGCATATTTTCTTATATTCTCTGTTTTACCTTACACTACCTTATGTTATATCGCTTTGAGATTCATTCTGCCTTTGACGGTTTGCACATGGCCTTATAAGGCTTCTGCCTTGCAGCCTTGCATCTTTGCGAGGCTGCTTGTTGGCAATTACACTTGAACAATGAGCCAGAACTGCAAGTCAAGGCTGCCTTTTTTGGTGACAGGATAGGGATAAATTAATATTGTTCTTGAAATTCATTATTCTCTTGAGGTCTTTAAAGCACTGATGTTTATGTCTCCAAACACATAACCCAAAGGTTTTCCAATTGACATCAAGTCAATAGAGCTATGTAAAAGGAAAATCGTCAGTTTCACACTCGGCAGCCTTGTACAAACCAAGAATTAGTATGACTGTTGGAAAATTATAAGATACAGTGTAGTGCTGCTGTAGAGTAAGCTGCAGTACAAAACCTGCATGTTGAATGCCCCACCCACTGATTCTTTTCAACCAGTGGCTTGGTGGACAGCTGGATTATCTGCTACGTGACACTAAAGATGCTTTTACATTTTATGTATCACCATTTTTCAAAGAGATTGGATATCCAACTGGCAGACTAAGGTGTTTTTACACTTTCCCTACTAGTCACACCCAAATATGACTCTTCACTGGATAAATCACTAACCAGTGATTAAGTATTCAGGAAACCAATAAAAATTGTGCTATCCACCGGATAGAGATTCATCTATTGGATAGTGTTATCCAACTATTGAACAACTGCGAGGTTGGTTTATTCCCAGTAGATGTGAGCAGGGGAATAGGGATTGCAGAATAATGTAGTCTGATTGTGTCTAATTAATGTTACAACAAAAAGATGGTTGCAAGTAATAATATATTATTCAGTTTTTTGGAAGTTCCATTCATTGCTAGAGTTAAACTGAAACACAGTTTTGTATTTGCTGCCATTACATAAACCCCATATGATTGGCTCATTTTAGCTTAAAATAATTTTCAAACTCATAAAACGAGCAAAATTGAATAATTAACAATCAATGAATTAGGTTGAGTACCATATGAAGAATTATGGAGATCGAGAAGGGTGTTATCCCTCGAGGCCGTAGGCCGGGGCAGATAACACCCTCCGAGATCTCCATAATTCTTCAAATGATACAAAAGCCGAATTCAATAATTGTTTTATTATTCATTCAAAATAATTCCTAGTTTAAAAACAAAGCTAAAACATGATTACCTCCTTCAATGTTAAGTTCACCTTCGATAGTGCACGTTTAGGGTTGTTCAGCTCCGCAAATATTCTCCAAACAGCAGATGTCGCCCTTCGAGTTGCGTTCTTGCTGTTCTTGCTATGTTTTTAGCTATAACTTTGTCTAGTTCTTACTCTTGAAACAAGTGAAATGTCTGCCATTTTTTGTTTTCACAACCAAAACAACTCAACCTCATCCCCAGGTCTTCTCGGTTAACGGTGCATTAACCTGTAAGAACGCGGCATTTTTGATGTCATTTCCTCGTTAGACACAAAATTCTTACAAATTTCGTCATCAGTATGATGACCAAATGATGACTGGTTATGGTGGATTATGCCATGGATAATAGAAAGACTGGGTAGGAAACTGGCTGACGCGATCTGTTCCAACATAGTGGAAAAATGTGACGTCACATTATCGAGAGCCATTTAACCTCTTACATCCAACATTTTGCACTTTTGAAGTAAAGGATGAAGAGGACTTGCTCTTGGACAAGACAGTTAGAGGGTACAAAACCGGAAGAGGCAAAAGACAGAGTAAATGATTTTGAAACTTGTGAGAGCGAAGAATGACTCCAGCGCCGATAATTTTATGCACTAAACGGGAAGCCTGACTACATAAAAACTGTCCAAAAACTTACATGTATACAGCTACAAAACACCTATAAAAAGGCACAGCCTTATTTTCTACAAACCACAGTAAAGCCGGAAATCATTTTGATTATTTTTATCACAGTCTTGACGATTTCTCTTCTTTTTTTATTTTGTAATTTATTAATTTTTATTTGAAGTTTTCATTTTACAGAGTACACTTAACGTAAAAAGGAAAAACAAACAAACAAACAAGACAAAACAAAAAGACAAAAAAAAGAAAAAACTATTACAGCAGACAATATCTAAGTTGATAGAAAGTACTTAAATTAGATCACTCAAAGAAATTCTTCATTGACATGAGAAAGAACAAACTATTACAGCAGACAATACCTAAGTTGATAGAAAGTGCTTATCTTTATATTTATGTACAATATTTAATTGTTAATTAGATCACTCAAAGAAATTCTTCATTGGCATGCTGCGATAGCTTTGAATAACAGAAAATGAAAGGAAAATAACCACGAAAACGAAA